AATTGCTACTTGTTTATGTTGAGTACGACGTATGGGCATGGTGACGAGTATCCATGCGTCGGTGTCAAGCATGACCGTGAGTCTTAATTTGATAATTGTGTACCCTTGTTTGATCCTATGAACGTTGTGACTAAATATTGGTATTAGTTGTGCCAGGAAGAAGTTGAATAGGATTGGTTATAGCTGACTCTCCCTTGTCGGGATGTTTGACTTGTTGTTATAGTTCCCTTGCCGGGAAGAGTATTAATTTGATTGTTCCCTTGCCAGGAAGAGTAATAATTTGATTGTTCCCTTGCCGGGATTGTATTGTGCATTGTGTTGAAAGTAAAGGGAGCGGGTGGTATGCCTACCACAAGTGATATTGAAATGGGAGCGGGTGGTACGCCTACCACAAGTGATATTGAAATGGGAGCGGGTGGTACGCCTACCACAAGTGATATTGAAATGGGAGCGGGTGGTACTCCTACCACAAGTGATATTGAAATTGGAGCGGGTGGTACGCCTACCACAAGTGATATTGAAATGGGAGCGGGTGGTACGCCTACCACAAGTGATATTGAAATGGGAGCGGGTGGTACGCCTACCACGAGTGATACTGAAATGGGAGCGGGTGGTACGCCTACCACGAGTGATATTGAAATGGGAGCGGGTGGCACGCCTACCACGAGATATTGAGAAATGGGATCGAGTTACACGCCTGCAACAAGATGAGTTGAATATGAAAGTTGTCTTATCTTTTCATTATTGTTGGAAGTTAAACTGTAGATGTACGTACCATTATTCCTGATAGTTTGTTTCTATCTGTTACCCCTGAAGCATGCTCCCTTCCTAGCCTAAATTGTTATTTTCTTGCTATTTTTCTGTTGTACTTGTATATATACCTGTACAGGTTTATCTGGAGTCTGGTCCTAGCCTCGTCACTACCTCGCCGGGGTTAGGCCAGACACATACCAGCACATGGGGTCGGTTGTGCTGATACTACACTCTGTGCTATTTTGCACAGGTCTAGGTTTCGAGCAGCAGGAGCAGTAGTGTGAGAGCAGGCTTCATTTCAGCGAGACTCGAGGTAGCCTTGCAGGCGTCCGCAGGCCCGGCGTCTCCTCTATCCTTTAGTTTTTTTATCTGTTATCTCATTGTAATCGAGACAAACAGCTTATATTCTCTTTCAGACGTTTGTATGTAGTATTCTTAGCAGTTCGTGAGTACAGTGACACCAGTTTTGGGTAGAGGATTTTGTTGAACTTTTCACATTTTTATTCAGTTTTAGAAAATGTTAAGACTTCCGCTTATTTCTGAATTTCGTTGCTTTTGTATTATTGTCGTAAATTGTTAAAATGGATTAGGTTATTAATGGACAAGTAAATAAATTTGGCTTGCCTAGCTCTCATTAGTAGGCGCCATCACGACTCCCGAGGGTGGGAAATCCGGGTCGTGACAGAACCTCAACACGAGTCAAGTCGCCCTAAATAAAGGCAAGTCAACCAGGATATAGATTATCTAAACCCCTATTTAAGGTTGGAAAATTACAAGGATATTCAACAATTCAATTTGGGAAAAATGATCTTAGCTTCACTTAAGACTAAATAATTTTCAGGAGAGATAATAATAATTCTCAAATAAGACAAGCAGTTATGAAAATATAACATGACAATAGGAGAGGCAAAACTCTTCAGTTAAGTCAAATAGGAGTCAATTAGGCAATAAGAGTGAATCATGAAGCAATTAATTCCAATTAATCATGTAGAGGTGAAACTAGTAAATAGGAACTCAGCCATATCAAGAACACATTCATACACAACGAATGTAAGGACCTAAGAACCCTAAAAGGCCAATTTCCCACAAATAAGTCTGAATACACACTTGTCGCCTCGCGTACAGGAACTACAATCAACATATAAGACTCAAATCCTAAGGGGAAGTCCCCCACTCAAGGTTAGGCAAGATACTTACCTCAATCCGGCCAATTCAATACTCAATTTAGCTTTTCCTTTACCAAATCATCAACGCTCGGCTCAATCTAGCCAAAAACGACTTGAGTACATCAAACAATGCAAGAGAAAACAATTGCAATTGACAAAACTATGATTCTTATACAATTTGCAAAAAGTCTACTCCCCGGGCCTGTACCTCGGAACCTGACAAAATTTACAAAAATTGAACACCCATTCCGCTACGAGTTTATCCATACAAAAATTATCTAATTCCGATACCATTTGGTCATTCAAATCATCATTTTACATTTTTGAAAGATTTCACAATTTCCCCCAAATTTTCCTTTAGATTCTCATGAATTTGATGTTAAATCTAAGATATAATCACAAAATATAGTTGAAAATTGATTAGAGACAGTTACCCAATGATTTGGAGGAGTTTGGGTCTTTGGAATATCGCCCATGGTGGTTTAGGGTTTGAGAAAATTGAAAAGTGGGTGAGAATCTCGTCAAAAACCTCACTTAACAGGCCTCAGATGTCGCATTTGCGACCCAGGGTTCGCTATTGCGAACCCTCGCAAATTGCGAACAAAGCAGGGCTGGCAGAAGTCGCATTTGCGAACTCAGCATCGCAAATGCGATGAAAAAATTCGCATTTGCGAACACACCAGAAACCAACAATTTTCCCTGACACGAAAATGAGCATAACTTCCTCATACGATGTCCAAATTCGATGATTCTTTTTCCTATGGCTCCGTAATTTCGATACGGATCTAATGGTTCAAGCAAAACTAAATTTGGATCTCATTTTCTCAATGTGGTATTATTTTTGCTTGAAGAAACGATGATGAAGCATCTAAAAACAAGCGCAACATAGCCTAAACCTATCAGAAACTCACCCAAGCCCTCGGGGCTCCAAACCAAACATGCACGCAAGTCTAAAACATCATACGGGCTTGCTCGTGCGATCAAATCATCAAAATAACATCAAAAACTACGAATTTAACCTCAAAACTCATGATTTTCTCAAGGACACTCAAATTTTCTAATTTTTCAACCGGACGTCTAAATCACGTCAAATCAATTCCGGTTCTCACCAAATTTACAGATAGGACTTAAATATCATAACAAATTTGTACCGGGCTCCGGAACCAAAATACGGGCCCAATACCAATGAGTTCCAACATTAGTTCATTTCTTTATTTCCTTTAAAAACCAACACAACAACTTTCTTCAAAAATTATTTTCTAAGGCTAGGGACCGCGGAATTCAATTCCGGGCATACGCCCAAGTCCCATATTTTACCGCGGACCTCCCGAGACCATTTTATCAATATAGAAGTTCACATAATTATCTCCAATGAAGTTGGACAAAAGTAATAAAAGCTCACCATCCTTGTTCACATATTCATATACTCTGACCTTGGCTTAAATAACATTTGGGTAGTCAACGTAATTTGTCGCACCTTCAATATTTTATTCATATGATGTCAGGGAAAATGCGTGCAAGTGCAAAAAGATGTAAAAGACATGGAAAAAAAAAAAAGCTAGACGAAGCAATACTCAGTTGCTTACTTTGAGTTTGTAAGAGAGTATTATAATATTTTGGACTTCTTTCTCAATACAAATCACTCAACAATTTCAGTGGATATTTCCTTTCTTTCCATGTGCATTAAAGTTTGCTTTTTATGAAATGTTATATGTTCTTGATATTTATGATGCCTCATCTATATATTGGAATATTCTGTATGGCATTTTATATTGCGCCATTTCCTAAAGAGAACCTTCAGTTTTCAAACCACAAGGCCCAATGAAAATACATACCCAGAGCTCCTGAAGTTGAATTTCAACAAGCCCCCTTCTTGTTCTATTCGTGACTTTGACATTAGCTGAATAATCCAGTTTGACGCTTTGCTATAGTCTTGTTGTGATGCACGGCATATTCTGAAAATACCAATTCATACAATAAGTTGTCAGGCCTTGAGGTACTCCTCTGTGCTTTCCTTCCAAACTGCTTACTTCTCCTTCTACTTCCGATTCTTGGTTTAAATTTTTCTTCTTCTTCCTCCTCTTTCTTTTATCCATTATTTTTTTTAGAATAATGTGGCGGCGTTCCCTTTAATTCTTCCCAGCCATCTGTCTATTTCAATTTTTGCACGGTTCTTCTTCGTCTTTCTCTTTATTGTGCCTTTCCTCATGCTTTTTGTTTTGCAGTTTTCATCGTCTTATTTTAGGATTTAGTCTTCCCTGATTTTGATTGTTTGGCTGTTTGTTGAGCTTAGTTTAGAGATTTAATTTACTATATCTAATTTCTTATGCGCCAAGTGAAATATCTGTATTCCGAAATAAAAAACACAAAATATGTGTACAATTCTTTCCTGGATTTCAATTGAAAATAGTGTTGGCATGCATACGCTGCATTATAATTAAGAGAGTTAATTTAGCTTGTCCGTGCGTTGTTGCTTTGACTGCAAGCTCAATCCCCTTCTCCCAGTCAATATTTGACTAATAATGCAAAAGATAGCGCTTGTGCCTGACGAGGGATATTCACAATATTTGGGTTAATAGATAAATTATATAACGGACATAATCTGGATACTTGTATAATCTTTAAGGACTTCTTTACTTAGCTAAAGGAGTTCCAGTGTAATTTCTTGCTCTCTCATCGTTGTAAAGAAAAGAATTATTTTTGCACTTTCTCGGTACTATTGACTAAAGGTACTTCTTTACTTATCAAAATGAAAAGGATGAGGGCTTTTCTCAGTATAATAATTTTAGTGTTTCGTTCTGTTTCATTGGAAAATACTCTTGAGCTGATTCTGAGACTTGCAGCTTTTTCCAATTTGTTTAACTGGATATCATCTTTTTATTTAAAAACTGTATTTTCTATGGCTTGCACTCATTATGTTTTCCGCAATATGAATAAATGGTTGTCTCGCCAAGTTGTCTAATAAGAAGTTGTATTTTAATTCTTCTATCTTGCTAAATTCTCTCTGAAATATAAATTCTCTTCCAGGGACCTACATCAAATTCTGAATCAAATTCTAGTTACTTCAAGTGGGCTACTGCTTCAACGTTTAAGGAAAAAGAAAAGTGAAGTCTCCACTGCATATATCCGCCTAACTGATAAACGGTTATAACTCTGCCATAATGAGAGCTCAAGTTAATTAAAAGTTTGAAACTTTCTCACTTGGATTACATGTTATCTCCACATTTTTTTTATTTTTTCTCAGCATGTAACCTTCTGTTTCTACTTTGACGTAAAAAGTTGTAGCATCTTTTTACTTGATAAATTGCAGAATCAGACCCCAAATAACTTCGGATGGAGGTGTAGTTGTTGTTAAACCGCATATCAACAGATTACAGATTTAGGATACATGAACTTTGCTCACCACTTTTG